ACACAGAGCAAAATTACTGTTTTGAAGGGAGAGGGCAGTCTCCAATGGCCTGTGGATCATTAGTGGTCTGTGGTGAGTTGGTCACTCACCTTGGATAGAGCAAAAGTCACAGTAAACCAGACAGGGCAGTGTGATGATCATCACAGAAGAAGACAAAGTAATTCCCCCGGTAAACCATTGCTCTCTGATACCTAAGCAAGACACTGTTCTGTTCACCCATGATGCTTCAAGTCTTTCCAGACAGCTCCAGGAAAAAGGCTGTTTCAACAAGGGCATCACTACCAGGGCTGCTAAGTCTGACCACCAGTGAGAGCCATAATGGGCACAGCTCTGAGTAAGCCTGCCTGTAACTGGGACTGACTGCAGCTGGCAGTCCTTCAGACTGGCACGGAGGCCACTTCAGATCAAATTTCACTGTTGATTTAAAGAGCCCTTTGCCAGCAAATTGTGTCCCACAGTACTCTGCTGAGCTAATTTCCAATTTGGTCCATTGCCCACTGCTGCTGTCAGAAATCCTGAGGAACTGAGGACACAGAGCTGTTTTTTCTGCAAGTCCCATGTCAGATCTTTCTTCCTCACCCCCTCAGTTTTGAGCACATTGTCCAATTTCAAGAAAGTCTGAAAGAAGGATGCAAACCTCAGCAACAATTGCTATCTAAATATTTTTCAGAGGGCAGCTAAGCAGGAGCCCCAGCTCATGTCCATGTAAAAGAGGTGGGAAGGCATCCCACATTTATCCAGCATGGATGTGAATTCAGACTTACCCACACCAATGCTGGCTCTTGGGTTGTTTTTTTCAAGCCTAGGGCTGGCTCTTGGCCAACATTAGGAGACATCCAGAGAGCTGCTATATTGTGCAGCTGTTCTGGTGGGGCTGGACTTATTGAAGTGCATGGAAAGAAAGGACACAGATAAGTTGGCAACTTGGCTTCATTAGTGTGACTGTTGATGGAACAAGTTATTTCATTGCTCAAAAGAAAGCTTTGACATTATTGGAAAGGATGAAATTCACAAGGGAAACCAAAACCACAAAAAAAAATAAAAAAGAAAAAAAGAAAGAAAGAAAGAAAGAAAGATGAAGGAAGTTGTTTTACTTGCTAGCAATTCAAGTCTGAGACAAAAGAAAATGAAAGAATATCCCCAACCATTTGGATCCTCAAACATTAAATATATAAACTTATTGCAGTGATAGCTTCTCCAGACATGAGTCATACATTTTGAAATCTTATGGGATCAATCAATTTAACTTCATAAATGAATTACACCACCAAAACCTGACCGAAACCAGACCATTGTATCCAGACTGGCTCATTTCAACCTTTCAGAGCTGTCAATAAAACTGTGTGTGAGCTGAAATGCTTACCAGCAAAAGCTGAGATCAGTAAATCAAATTTAATAGGCTGGTTTTGTTGACTAAACAGGAATGATGCCTGAAAAAAACCAACCCAAGCCTTAACTAATGAAATTCCTAAAGGATACACAAAGACTGTTTCATTTCTACATGCCTAATGATCTGGGTTTCTGTTTGGTTGGTTTTATGTGCATAATCCCCAGAATTACTAAATTAAGAACAGCACTTAACATATAAAATATTTAGAAGGGCTTTCCTGACAAAAAAGATCTATTCCCTCCCTCAATAGCTAGTTCCCATTGTTAATTACCCTCATTTATGTTTAATTTAAATTTGTGTCCCTTCATTTCCCAGCAGCTTGATATTTTTTATGCTATTATCTGCTTCATTAAAGTGCCCTTCTCTTTCATTTATCTTTCCTCCATGTGGTCAAGTAGCCTTTTAAACTTTTCTTTGAAACAAGTTGACATTCTTCTGCCTCCCCTACAGATGACTGTGGCCTCTCACTGCATTATAGTGGGGCTTGGGTTTAATTTATTTTACTTTTGCTAGGATGGCATGAAGAATAATAGTGTTTCCAACCTCATCTTTATTTTCAGCTGTTTCATTTCTCTTACAGAAAATATATTGCCAGTATATGATGCCAAATTGATAAGAGGAAAACAGAAGTCAGAATTCTTTACTATCCAGCTAACCCCACACTACCCTCCTCTCCTACAGAGTCTTGTAAGATCAACAGCCTGAGTAGGGAAAGAATTTATCTCCAGCACTGTGGAATAACTGCAGTCAGCAAATGTCAGCTTCTATGGCAAAGTCACAAGCCAGCAGAGATCTGAGCTTGCTCCTGCTCTGCATCAGGACCAAATAAATAATGTCCAGGCATGAAATACAGAATCCAGTGATCAATACCTGGAGTCATCTTTTTCTATGAGTCAAAAATAAACCTTCTCTAGGTATAAGAGTGGCTGCCCATTCTCCAACCAAAACTGGAAAGCTGGGAGAAGAAGCAAACCTAGCAACTTTAATTTCACTTTATAGTCAGCTGTAGTTCCTAGAACATCACTTTGGTTAATCTCTTAATGGTGTGCCCCAGAAATAGAATGACATCTGCTATTTATGATAGGTTTGGTACAATTATGCCTTTTGCAGTATTTGTGTCTCATTTCTTTCAAGGATATGTAACTTCACTTTTTCTATTAAAACTAGAAAAAGGTGAATATAAATGTCTTCTGCTGAGATATAAAGCTCAAATTACAAAAGACAGATCACACAAAATTACTCTTGTTTGCATTCTGAAGATGGAGTTTGTTATTAGAAAGATGAACAGTTTTCATTCTTCTTATATTTTCTAATATTATAATGACAGATATTATTGCAAGCATCATAATCTGCTCCACTGCAGTGCAAACGGGGCACATCACTTCCCTAATAAAACTATGATATTTAGAGATGGGAGTTCATTATTTTCTTTGCCTCCTGTCAGGATATTGCTGATCCATGTAATTACTGCAGTTGCAGAGATGCAGTTGGGACAGCATCAGTGCTTTTCTCTGGGCAGTTGCACTACACTGATATTGTACTGATACTGGGACTACTTTGCTCCCAGCACTGTTAGACTGGAAATACAGGTATGAGAAGCTCAATATGTATTTTAATACCTGTTAAAAATTACAGGCAAGCTCAGATTTCATAGCATTTAACTTGGAGATAGCTTGCTGACTAAGCTGATGTGGATAAGGCTGTACAGTCAGCAGGGTCCTACCCTTTCCGTGAGGGAGGCAAGGTCAGCAAGTCCAGCTCTTTTCCCTAACATCTCACTAAAGAACAATAGCCCATTTTCAGGTTCTCTTCCAGTGACCAAGGCCAGAAAACCTGTCATTGTCACAAACACAAGAAGTGAGGGGTTTTCCAACTCTGCACATTTCATTTCATGCATCCAAATGTATATTTATCTAAAACATGCACTGGAGATGTACTGGTTTGGGCTGAACTTGTGATCAGGCAGGGAGGCCATCTGCAGGGCATGCACAGCAGGAGGTTTACAAAGGAGGTCTGTGTTCATGTCCGTGCTCTGTCAAATTCAGTATGAGGATGTGATTCTGTCCCTCTGGGGAGACGCATCCTTGCTGCCCTGTTTCAGAGCTCATTGCAAACAGGCTGCTTGCTCTGTGCCAGACTGCCAGAATTAGTGATCTCATATGAAAGGAAGCACTGGTCAATGATTTAGTTTTTACCAGCAGCTCAATGACCTAAGTATGTTTTCCTTCTAACGTACACAGGAGCATTTAATCTCCTGCTTTACAGGCTCTGTTTGACTTCACCTGCCATTATCACAATGACATGTTGGTGGAGAGCAGAGCTAACCATGGATTATGTACAGTACCCACATCAAATGTAATCAGGCTGAATTAGCAGGGATTCAGTCTCAGGCTTCTGAAAATAAATTGCAGTATTACATTTGTCATCTGTGAGCCTTTAACAGCCACAAAACACTCACAGCAGAGGCCTGTGGTCAACTTCAAACAAATTACACAAGTCATTTCATACTGCGATTAAGGTGAACTGGACCCTGCAGACAGATGAGTGTGTTCACCAAAATTTATCTTTAAAGACTGTCTATAAATCCTAAAAAAAGATGTTGGCTTTTGAGTTTGATGGGGAGGCAGGTTGTTGGTTTTCTTTTTCACTGTTAGGTCTGAGGAGTATTTGTCGCAAAATGGAATGTAAGTATAAAGTTCTATAACAGTATAAACAGAAAGGAGCGTTTTAAAATCATCTTCATTTAGAGGGGTCCCAGGAATTACATAATGTTCTCAGAATCCATCTTTCACTGTCTGACACCAACACCAGCAGAATCATGATATGGTACAAATTCATGACCAAACACATCCTATACTTGGTCTAATATACACACACAAAAAAGTAAATTTGATCCTGAGAAATATTATTTCAAAGCTTTTCCCTCCATACGTTCCAACCATGACTTGCAGCATTTCAATGAAGTAAGTCAGCTAAAAGAGCTGAAAAAAGCAAAAATAGCAAGAGGCCAGCTCTTCAGAGGTCTACCAACCTGTGTGAGCTACACTGCCTTAAAAAGGGCTGGAGGACAAGGAAACCTTTCTCCTGTTGAGAGGGTCAGTGCCATGCTCTGTGAACCACTGGGTTTCCTCTCTGCTTGCTGGCTTGCCTCTCACATACAAGCGTGAGGAAAGCAAGGGCACCCTCTTTTGGGAGTCCATCATCTCAGATATTTAACATACAGAAAAGGGCATCAGATCTCTTGTCTCCTGCTGGCTATGCCTTACATTAGCTCATCCCAAAGCGCCTCTCCTCTGCCTTCCTTGCTTCTCCTAGGTCAGTGATGACTCATCTGTGCTTTAATGGAGGTCCCTGAGGTTTAATTCATTATCTGAAAAGAGCTTTGAGACCATCACAAGAAGGGTGTTACAGAGGTGCAAGGAGGTTAAGTCTTGTAACTCATACCCATATGCTATGTTTGTGCCTTTGAATTTTTTTTCTTTTTATAAAACCAAAATTTGTATCTGATCCTAGAGCAGGGAGGAAGCTGTTGACTCCCTCTCCCATGATATATTCCCCTCCACCCTCGCTTTCTTGTGCACAAGGTTTGGAAAAAGGAGGTCCAACATACCCAGCAATCGAATTTGCATGATGGCGCCGTGTAAAACGAAGAACATCCAGAGGGGCTGGGAACAGTCCGCGCAGACCTGCATGCCAATGCCGGCACCGTTGTGGCTCAAGTGCAGCTCACCATCAGAATTCACCATAAACCCCAGGATGTCTCCGCTCTGGAGGGGCACCACCACTCGACAGATGGCCCAGAACTCCTTTCGGTCGACCAGGGACTCGGGGTTATAGGGGAGGTCACTGGGGCGCAGGGTGCTGGGGTCACAGGATGTCACCCCGTAGGACAGCGTCCCTGTGCGCACAGCGTTGGACTTGTTGATTTTCACAAAAATGGTTTCGTTGATCCGAAGGGGTCTGCTGGTGAACACCAAAGTCCTCTCCTCCCGGGCGTGCTCCAGGCGGGCCACGGTCTGGTCATCGAGGATTTTGACGTGGGGTCCCCGGAGGTGGTGGAAGCGGAGGTCGCTCTCCAGCTGGGATGGGAGGAGGTGGGAGTGCTGGGAGTTGAGGGAATTCTGCGGGATGGGGCAGGTGGTGGCCGTCACGTGGAAGGTGTCCTCCTGCAGGTTGAGGTCACACAGGCTGACCGAGAGGCGCGTGTCCTCTGTGTCCCGGCGCAGCGAAGGCCGGCGGATGGCCGTGAAGGAGCGGGGCCGCAGGCAGTCGGGAGGGATGATTTCACTGTCTGTGGGGAGAAAGAAAACAAAAAAAGGTCTCTTTCATAGAAAATGAAAATGTCCAAGAGCTTGAAAAAATATGAGTTTGCTTGATATGTTTAAAAGGGAGAATCAGAGACCTGCTGCCAATAATAAATTTTCCCCTTTGAAATATGGGAGCAGAGTATCTTAAAATATATTCTCAATCAGTTGCTGTTCTTGTACTTTCCCCACCAGCAACAACATTTCCAGCTTCTGAGCAGGCAGACTCAAAATCAATGGCAAGAATTGCCCAAGGGATGCTCTCCTTGGAGAGGGAAAGCAGAGGATAAATATCTGAAATACACCCTCAACATACCAATCAATATACAGGCTCCAAGTTTTCATGCCCTCTTTATTATCTACAGTGATTCTCACAGACTTATGGAATAAATATCTAGCTACACATTTTTTTATTTAAAAGAAATTGCTATGTTCAGCTCTATATTATTTATCACCATATGAAATTTAATTAATATTCCTGTCTATAACTAATCATTAGTGTTCTAGTTTTCACTGCAGAGCAGTACAGATATGGATTTTACAGTGCAGAATTTGAGAGTATGCCAGGTTTTAGAAATACAATACAATAATTTATTATTTCCAAGCCATATAATTAAAATTCAAACCCATAGATATATAACTAAGCAAGACGAGGCTCAGACATTCAAATTCACCAGCGGAAACAAAATTGCACTTTATCTTCTTCATTAGTATCACCTGCTGCTTCAAGAACTAATCAATTATTTGATTATTTTTCTGAGGAACATACTATGTCTTTCATGCTGAAATTAGTTATATTTAACACATCCATAGCTGTGCTATTGTCTTAGAAATTTTAAAGAACAATATTCTGAGAAAAAAAACCTTCATTAAAAAATTATAAAGAAAGCTGAGATAATGCAAAAATTCATTCTTACGTCCAGATTTCTGAACTCTAAGAAGCATGAGGAGACCATCCATTTGTGTGAAAATTGAGTGTGTGGGAAACTCCTGGGACAGTGTAAGAGGCTGTGACCCAACTGGACTGAAGTCTGTTGTGGCTTTGAGCCCAGGTCCAAATAGCAGGAGGTGACACTGCCCCACACAACACAAAGCAACACACCAGACCCCAGCATGGGATGTGCTGCAAACACAGCACAAGGAGGAACAAGAGGAAGAGGCAAAGCTGTCCCTAAAGCACTGCTAGGCCCTTGCAGTGGACACTTCTTCCACACATATCCTTGCGATTTTCTTTATGACAACAAAAAGCAGGACATCAGGTTATCTGAGGATTTTCCCAGCGGGGTGTACTCTCTCCCAGTACACCAGAGTAGTAGCTCTGTACTGGTGTGCCAAGCTTCTGAGTAACCAACATCTCCTGCAATATCTGAGGTCTGACTAACAGCCTTTCCTGTCCTCCTCTTCTGGGAGCCCTGACAAGAGCACACCCACACAAGGTTTGGCTTCAGTGGAGCTCTTTGCTTTGCTTAAACTGGATTATTCCAGGCTCCTCTTTAAATAAACTGCTATTACAAGGGAAGCAGAGTCCTAAAATAAAAATGGGCTTTGTTTCTCGTATTTGATTTTCTGCATACTGGTATTTCAGCCTCTCAGGAATTAATGGAAGAAAAGGAGGAATAAATAAAATCAGAAATTACCCCAAGTAATCTAGAAGTGGGTCGCATTAATGCTTTGAAATATATGGGCTAGCATTTGCATTCCAAGTGCTCCTGCTGGATAGCACTGGTCTTATTTTATCCTCCTTTAGCCGGAAACCTATATAGGAGAACAAATTAATACTGGCAGCTGATGACAATCCTTTTGTGTAGGTGAATGGATAGAGACCTTTCTGAATAGGAACAGAAGGTCCTCTCTATTTTATTCCCTGTAACTATACATGTGCAGCCTGGCTGACAACTGTGATGTGTGGGTAGCTTGCAGCCAGGGTTTTGAAACAGCTTGTTTTCCACCAGGATGCTTGCATTTCCCTTTGGCTGCTGGACAGAATATCTTTTTCCATCTGTAAAGAGGTTAAGAGAGATGGAGTTCTTGCAGACAAGACACATGGCAGTGATAGCAAACCAGGGTTACATATCCAACTGTTTTACTTAAATCCCTCTGTAGCTCAGATGCATGGCCACCTAAGGAATAAGATGTCTGTAGCATATAGAAGTGACTGTGACAGTTCATTAATGTTTGCAAACAGCCATGGAAGAAACGATTGCAGTTTACTGGCTTCTGAAGTATGTTTGTGAAAATTTAGAGATGAGTCTCTAAGAGATGCTGGCCTGAATCACAAAACATCTAGCCAAAGGAAAAAAAAAAAATCCCATTGAATATAAATCAAAACAAAAGTGGGATTCATCTTTTGGGGTGGTAGGTAGGTTGGAAGAAATGTGGAATGCCATTTACCCAGAATAACCGATAATAGCCAAGGGCTGTGAAAGAACAGTTCTGGTGAAATGTGGAACAAATGTGGTGACTTTGACCACTTTCTTTCAGAAGAAGATGCCCAGGAATTAGCTGTTTTTCTCCTCTAAAGCTTCAGTTCTCACTTTTTTAACACAGACCAAACTAGTCATGCTGAATACAGATGAAGCTCCTCAGGCTGGAGTGGCCCACAGCACAGCCTTAGCCCTGCAGAACATTTACAAATGATCTTCAATGCCTACAAAGGAGAGACTCCTGTGTTCAGGAGCATTTATATTTACAGAGGCAAATCTGGGGGGCACATCAAAAAGACTGAATGACTCCATGTGACGAGACTAAGACACAAAATGGATCCAACCACCCATTACCAAAGACCGTCTGGCTTCAGCCTGAAGAATTTAGAAATCACTCATCTCTTCATTAAATATTAAAGGTTATAAAGTTTATTGTGTAAGACAGTTGGCAATGTTTCTTTGGAAAAGTCAGTTGATGAGAGATCTCCTTGTGTGAGAATAGATGGACTTGTGAAGACCACAGCTGTCCCCAGGCCACCAGAGCAAGCATTAATCCAGTGGCTGGGACACCACCAGAAAGCTGGCCTTGACCATGGCAGCTCACTGGACTTGGCTGCCCAGGCAGCTTCCCTGAGAGGTTTTGCTGAGCTCTGCATCAGTGCAGTTATGATGTTATTTCTGGATTTTGAGACTTAAAGTTTCTGGTAGCGATACAGATACAGCCAAAATGAAAAGATTTCTACTAAATACAGATTTTCTGCTCGTCAGGTGGAGAATCTGAGACACTGAATTTAAAGGATGCCTATCTTCAAAAATGCCTTTGCATTTTTTTCTAGCTTTGTTTAAGAAAAAAAGTAAGGAGGAGTAATTAATTTATCTAAGTAGAAATGAAAGGCACTTGAACAGTTCAGCCGCCTTCTGTTTTCTTTCCTTTTTAGTGGGGTTTATCTGCAAAATTTAGATTCTCAGCAGGTGATTCCTTAATCAGAAAAATAATTTGAAGTATCTTCCTCAGACCAGAGGCTTCAAAGCTTTCCATTTTCCTCCTCAGAGGGCATGGAAGAGTTTCCCACTTTGTGTAAGCTCAATGCAACGACAGTAACACTTTAGAAGATCTTTTACAAGGAGCTGGTGAGCAGACAGATACAGCTGTAATCACTGCACTCAGATCAGAAGTATTTCACTACCACCTTTCTTTTGAACCACTGCCAAATACTGTCTTCTCAAAATAATTTATTTCCTTAAACATGTGTTATGTTAATATGCAGAATACATATTTATTATAGAGATCACATACATGCACACTGAACACAGCTGCAAGCACATCCCAACACAAAAGCATTTCTAACCACCAGCATGCACAAATCATCTCAGCCCCACACAAGCCTGAAGGGGATGTGTTGCTGTCAGACTGTCAAATCATCATTTCCCTCCTCTTTCTCTTTTTCAGTACTGTCTGTTACTGCCTGAAGGCTTGACTTTCCAAGGTCATGAGCAGCCTGTATTCACACACCTGTAAAGGATCTGAGACAGCAAAGCAAACTCAGCATGGACACACACACATTGTGGAAACTCAGTCTCTGTTTAACTGCAGCTCAAGGGACACAGATCTCCTCTTGATCACTTTCCTGAGACTGGTGCAATCCTATCACCTCCATGAATTGTAATTCTTCGGAGTATGAGTTCTCTAGAATGAGCCATGGAACACCTAGAGTAAACAAATTAACTTTGAGACTTAGTACTACAAAAAATAACATCATTTGGAGAATCAAGACCATTCTGTATGAACCTTAATAATGTATCCCCATCTCTAATGATCCTTCCTACCAGGACAGAGAAATGTTGAGAAGTCAAGGAAGTGCCTCGTGATTCCTTGCATCAAGAGAACATTTCTGTCCTCAGCTACTAAGCCAAGAGTAAAAAACTGATAAGGCCAGAACTTAACTGGTATGATGCCTCCCTTGCCATGCGAATACTCACAGCTTTCCTTCCTTCTGTTCTTTGCTTTGCTTTTTCACAAGTGCAGTTTTCTTCTCTTAATCACTCACTTCACTGGGTAATGGTATTTTCAGTACCAGTGCTCATGGTATAATTTCCATGACCAAGGAACCTCAGGGGTACTAAGTTACCAAAAGATACATCAAAGTCAGTGGCCAATGCAAAAACATTCTGTGTAAACCTCCATTCCCACTCAGGAATGCAAATGAAGGCTCTTTTTCCCACCATCAGCTGTATCTGTCACAAGGAGTTATCCAGGGAGGACAGCTGCCCTCCCAACACCTGTAATCTTGCAGTGTCTCCTCCATGGTCTACAGCAGAGTTATGCACCAAACAGACCATTTGGCAGGATTTTGACATTGCAGAGAGACGTGTTTGAAACATGAGGCAGATGTACCACACTGTAAAATAGCATTGCACTCAAGGGCAATTGGGGAAAGCAACCAGTTGTAAGACAAGAAATAAAACTGTGCTTCTGGAAACCTGTTGCTCACAGCTCATACTCCCCACCGTGGGAGTGCATTATTTATCTCAGCTCAGATGCCTTGTGTGGTGCTGTGGCAGCC